TGCACGGTGAGTGCCGGGGTCCGAGCGGCTGCAGTGCCCGGCGGGGGGGGGACACAGAGCCGTGCTGGGAGGAATTAACTTCCAAACACAGCTGGGTTCCCTTGGGTAGGGTGGTTGCTTGGAAGGTGCTTTTCACCTGGGCCGGCAGCTAAAGCTTCTCCATGAGCTGTGCTGGCCATAGAGTCCCCCGCGGGTTTGGGTTGGAATGGACCTTAAAGATCATCCAGTCCCAATCCATCCCTCCCACCAGCCCAGGCTGCTCCAAGCCCCATCCAACCTGCCCTTCAACACTGCCAGGGATGGGGCAGCCACAGCTTCCCTGGGCAGCCTGGGCCAGGCTCTCACCACCCTCACAGGGAAGAATTTGTTCTTAAAGTCTAATCTGCATCTCTCTTCTTTCAAATCCATGCCCAGTTTTCTACTTAGGGTTTGTTTATAAAGCTGCACACAGCAATAGCTGGAATTATACTGCCCAAAAATGGGAACTAGAAATTTCAGTGATTAAAAGTCATTAAAAAGATGCTTATCTTTCTGTAACTTTTTAACTGAAATAATTCCATGCATTGAACAGGATTTTTAAACCTTGCCTGCATCCACACACTCAGGTCACAGAGTGATCTTTGCAGCCTGTGAGTCTTTTAGAGTAAATCTTGGTGGCTTTAATTAATTCCTTTATTTCCCCCTCCCCCCCACTGCTGGACAGGTTTGCTGTAAGTGTGGGCTACTGGAAGGACCCTTACATCCAGTACTTTGTGAGACAAGCCAAGGAGAGAAAGGCACCTGAAATCAACAGAGGCAAGTTGGCATGTGAACTGGAATGGTGACAGCACAAATGTGTTCCTTGGTCTTGAAGAGCAGCTGACAAACCCTCTATATGTTCTGCTCAGTTTGAAGTGAAACTTTTATTTAGTCATGGAAATCTGTTTTATCAGTGCACCAGATTTTGTTAGTAATAAAAAATCAACCAAATTCCCTTAGATATCTTAAAAAGAGTGCATTATTTTTCTTAAGAAACACCATTTTTTAAATACACTACCTAAAAGTCTTAAAGATTGTTAAACAGCAAGTGTTAAATTAAAATAAAAATTGAACCCAACCTTTTTTGTGTGTTAACAGGCTATTATGCTCGTGTTCATGGAGTCAGTTATCTGATCAAAGCTTTTCTAAAGAAGACAGAATGCAACTGTCAAATTGTTAATCTGGGTGCTGGCATGGACACCCTGTTCTGGAGATTAAAGGTAATGATAGCTGAGGGTATTGTGGGGGTACTTGGAACCTCCTTCTATGAGGGTTTCTCTGGGCTGCCCAGGCTCTGCCTCAGTCCTCAGCTTGCTTAGCAGAAGTTTAGATCCCTTTAAGCCTCCGGAGAGCTGCAGTTTTCACTGGTTTCTACGAAAAAGTTAGTGACACGCAGCTGACCTCTAGTGGACTCCCAGGACCAGAGCTTGGGCTCCAGGTGGCTGCCCTCTGAAAGCCTCAAGACTTTGCCTTTTTGTCCTATGTTAAAACAGGAATACAGTAGCACAGTACAGGATTGTACAGGCTGTGTGCACTTGTTTCCAAATTATTTGCACAAATTTGAGTTTATAGTAGTAAACACGTGTGCCTTTTTGTATGCAGGGATGTAATTCAAAAAAATTCAGATTATTCAGGTGTGACATGATAGTGTCATTCAGAGTGAACACACCTCTGAGTCATCTTGTCTTCTCATTAGCATTTACATTTGTAAGTTTGGTTTCTGGCAGGCAGCCCAGGGAGGCCGTGCACCTTTTGCTTGGTCACAGTTCATTGTATTTCAGTCAGAGGAAGGGAAGAAAGAATGATTTCTCTTTTTTATTATTATTTTTTTGATTTATTTTTATTTTTTATGAGATATGAAGCTTTTCCCTCACCTGCATCCCTGTGAAAGCTACATCCATCCACATTTTTGTTACCTTTCCTGATCTTGAAGAGCTGCAGGGGTGCCTGTCATTGCAATCCCTGCTCCCTGCACAGAGCAGGGGGTGTGATGAGGGTGCAGGAGATGGGACCTGCTCAACCGAGCGCTTCGTGCTCTGACTGCTGGTGGGTTCTGCTGCTCAGAAATGCAAGAGCTGGTCAGGCCAGAAGGAGCAGCTCATACCCATCACAAAAGGATTGCTGGGCACAGCTTACCTGTCAGGGTGCCCAGCAGGAGCTGGGGGGGTTTTCCCTTGCTGTGGCAGAGGGACGTTGCTGCGCGTGCAGTCGGGCTGTGGGCTGGGGACAGGGTGTGCAATGTGGTTGCTTTCTGTGTAAACCTCTGCAAAATGTTCCTGATGCCTTTCTTAGAAGAATATGTTAAAGATGTGTGGTAAATGTGGTAATAGTTTCTGTTGCTGTGCTCTTCTAGATCCTAATATATTGCTGGAATGTGTGTTTCAGTGATCCAGTCTGTAGAGTTGCTGCATTACACGAAATGTTAAATAATTTCTCTAATGCTTAGAGGTTATTCTAGTGTCTCACAACTGGTTTTGTTGTTTGGTGGTTTTTTTAAGCTGTGGGACATAAAGTTATGCTACTTTTACAAGTGGCACTGTGAGCTAAACCAAAGCTGTTTAGGACTTCAGGTTATATCTTCTTGTCATGTACATGTGAAACTTGAATGTCCCTAATTTTAGATTTTGACTCAAATTTTCAGGATGAAAATCTTCTCCCTAGAAAATATTTTGAAGTGGATTTTCCAATGATAGTTGCCAGAAAAATACACAATATCAAGTAAGTGTAACAGTTCTGTTTAGCTGCCTGCAACTGAATGTAATGCACCAAAGTGTCATGAATTGCAAGTTACAGGGACCTCGTATCTTTCCTGAGGAACTCTTCCTCTTCTGGGATTTAAAGGTTTCGTTGTGCAGGCAAGTCACACTTGTGACTGAGCAGCTGCTGTTCCAGACTGGAGAAGTTGATATGTGGAAGCCTTAGGGAGGCAAACAGCCTTTGTTCTTAATTATGTAGAATAAAATGGGCAGGGGAAGCCTCACAATGATTAGAGGTGATTTTCTCTTACCAGTGCAGACAGTAGGAAATTCCCAGACTCACATGCTCAGTTAGAGTGGCAGGATAGTGGCACTGGACATGGATGTTCTGTTCAAGTGTTGAAGTTAAGGCCGTGGAGGATCCTTGAAGAGAATATCTGGACTTCCCATAGAGGTTACCTCAAAACTTGGAGTCATTGGGCATAAAACTCAACTGCAACTGGTTACTAATTCTAACTTGCAAACGTTTTTATTTCCAGCAGAGGGCAGAGGTATTCTCTTGTCTGCTTCTAACATGCACACACACACACACACATATATATATATGTTAAAAAAAATAATTCTAAGCTCACTGTTAAACAAGCTTAACTGCTCAGAGCTGCTTCTTCCTTCTTCCCACAGATCAAAACCTCCCCTGTCAAAACCAATTATGGAATCCCATTCAGGGGACTCTCTTCTAATAGGTGAGTCATCTTAAAAAATAAGTCAGTGATGTACTGCAGCACTTTTAAAACTTTTCTGATCATTTTGTTCTGCTATGTGGGCAGGCTTTTAATGCTTGAAGTGCTGTTTGGACAGAGAATTGGGAGGAAAAAGAGGCTTTTTTCTCCTCTTACAGACTCCTGCCCGTTTGTTCTGTGTCGTGTTAGAAATGTCTTCTTGAAGTGGTTTTATTCTGCCAGAAAGTTGTTGGGCTTTTTCTCTTGTATGTAGCTTAAGTTATGTTTTTTTGTCACAGGACAGTTTCTCTAAAGCTGTTCCTCTTGTCCTTTCCAAGTGTTGAGTTTTTTAAATAGTTCAGAGTGGCCATTTTACTGTAACCTGGCTGATGCAGGCCCTGCTGCACTGAGATCTTTGGGATTTAGCATCATGTCCAGATATTTGAAGATGGTGCAAATCTGTTGTGTAATTCCAGTTTGAACTAGCACTTGATAACCACAGCTCAGTCTGAGTGAAATCCAGGTGGGAACTCTCATTTAAGGACATGATCATGGTACTGCTTCATGTGGAAGTGCTACCAGAGTAGCTGTGAGCTAAGCAGACAAATCAAAGAGTCAGTTGAATGGAGATTTTTTACAGGTCTAAAGGAGCCTGACAATGAATTAGCTCACCTACTAACTGGAATTTACCCTCTCATTTAAAAACTCTTGTAGTACATGAGAATTGGAGGGTGGTGGCTGTGACTCAGATGGGCTCCAGGAGAAATCCAGGGCACTACAAGGCAGTAGGACTCTGCTGGACAAATTAGTAGAAATTCTAACAGACAGTGGAAAACAGGAGTGATGTAATATGTTGAGAAAGAGTCAGCATGGCTTTTGTAAAGGTTACTTGTGCCTCACAGGCCTACTGGAGTTCTCTGCAGGAGTCAACAGATATGTTGGAAAAGGATCTCCAAAATAATGCAGTGCAATTTAAAAAATGTGTTTTGATCATCTCCCTTATCCCAACGTTTGCCAAAGAAATTGCTTGGTTGTTGTGGGGGAAAGAAGTGGTTCTCATATGGATAAAGAGCTGGGGATGGAGGGTGGGCACATGGTGTTAATTTTCATTATGGGGGGAGGTGGGGATCTGTGCTCAGGGATATGTTGTTGTTCAACACTAAGAAATGATTGGGGAAATAGAGTGATGAGTAAGTGGCAGCTCGTTGGCAACTCCAAACTCTTCAGAGTGGTGAAGAATCTTGTGAAATTAGTGACTTGGTGATAAATGTAATGTGGATTAATATAAAGTGATGCACATGGGTGGAAAAAGCAGTTTGTGCCTCACGTGTAAATGGTAGGTTGCTGGCTGATTGCTACTGCATGGGCACAAGACCTGGGTTCTCTTGCTGCTTTTCTTCTCACACTATGTTTTCAGTTCATGAAGCTGGTGCTGACAGACAGCTTTATTGGCTTCAGGGCAACATCTGCTTTCTCCTTGTCCTTGAGGCAAAGCAGTGACACCACGGCTTGCAGTTCAGGTGTAGGTGTTTGTGGCCTCTGTCCCTGAATGCAGCAAGATGACACTTGTCATTGGACAGCTTTGTAATTTCCTATGGAATGCCAGGTGTCCAGGGGAAGGCATTGAATTTGTGCAGTAATTTCTCATTGCTGTGGCAATATCAGGTTAAATTGTTTCTAAAGTTCAGTGACCCTGCCTGGTTTACAGCACAGTAAAGTTGTATAGTTGGGAAGTTAGTCCTCTGCCTTTGCTACATTGTAATTTCAAATTATACCTCAGTGAACCTTTCAGTGCCACTAGTGCATTTTCTGACCCTGTTTAGTCCAGTTATGGGAGTTGCTTCTTTTAACTTCCTTTTCCCTGCATTTCCAAACTCGCTTGTGACCCAACACAGGCATCAGGGATGGTGCTGCCTTGGTGACCTGTGTGCCTTGCCTTGGGGAAGCTCCTACACTTGCAAGACAAACAGAATTCCATTGTGTTTTGACACGTACCCTGTTCTGATGTTGTAGTTGACAACCAGCCTGAGCAAGACCAAAATTGTACTGTACCTGAGAGGCTACAGAATAGGTTGTTTGGGATGGTTCTTGGTAAATATGTGTGTATGGGCCAAAGGTAGAAGCTGACAGAAAATCGTAGAAGGAAATTTGGAAGAGGCTTCATTGGGCTCTTTCCCCTTTGTTTTTTCCCTTTTGCCTCTCTTTTTGCCTTTTAAAATTGACTGCTGTAAATTTAACATTTTTTCCTAAGACTTGCTTAAAGATAAAATTGACCATAAAAGTGGTAATATATAAATTATGGAGGCATTTAATGGGGTGCTTTCAGAGCAGTGTAAAACATACAATTTTTAGCAATTGTATCAGCTTGTGTATAATGTGTGTGCAGCTCTGCCTGGGTACTACTATCTGTGGTTGTGTTTGCCAACAACCATCAATGGAGAGTCGAGGGAAGTTGGCAGGAAAATGTGTGGAGGAACAAATACATTCTGTTGGAATGGACCAAAGAAAGAGAACCAGGCAGCCTGGGTACTGGAAATGGCAGTGAAGTGATTGTACTTGGAGTAAAAGGCTTTTGAAGAGAGGAAGACAATCCTTTCCTCATCAGCTTCCTTGGCCATTTGAAAGTTTCTGCTGCAAGGAGTCCTGCACTAAGGCAATAACTGGACTTGGCTTTAAGGTTTAAAGAACATTTCCACTGAGTCACATCACCCTTAAAGAAACCTGATGTGTTTTTTTAGTTTGGTGGTTATTCTTCTTGGTTTTTTTCCCCCAGAAGTTCTCTTTGAATAAGCTGGCTGTGGCTGCACAGCTGTGCATTGTCACTTGTCCACAGCCTGCATCTCCAAAACCAGGGAGCTGGGCTGCCCAGCTCAGCACTGTAGGGCACCCATCCCCTCTCCCAGATTGTCAGGGCATAATAGAAATTCTCTGGGGTTTGTTCACATGTTTACAGGCTTACTGAAAACAATGTTAGTCTTTTTGATTGCTGACATCTGAACCATTTTGACAGACGGTTTTCTAACCTGAAGTTTGAGAAAGTTTTGCTCTTGTCTATTCTTCAGCGATAAAAATGCTTGAGCCAACATGGCGTGAGCAAGAGACATTTACTTCCACCTCTGAAGTGTTTGTACTACTTTTGTGACTGGGTCACTTAAAAGTTCTTCTAGTTTATTTCTGGTTGCAATTAACATACTAGGCTGTCCAAGTCACTGAAGCTGGACAAGAAGATTGCATTAATTTCATACTAATTGTGGCAACTGACGTGTGCTGTATCTCTGGACAGCAAACCAAGCACTATAGAAATACTTTCCTGCGTGTGGTGGGTTTTTTGTGTGGCTTTTTTTGATGCCATTATCATGGCCTTGATATAATAACTTAAATAGAAGGGTGTGGGAAGTAGTAAAGCTATTACAGAACATGCACATGGAAAAAAAGTCTTGACTCAAAATGTTGAATCATTTGCAGCACAACTTTTTATTTCTTTATTTTCCCCTCTTATTCCCTGTAACTCTGAATTAACCATCCTGGTTTCTGTATCTGGTCAGAAATGTTGCTGCAAGCACTGCTTAATTTAATAAGTTGCCTTTTTATTTCACACCCACTCTCCTGAAGTGGAAAGCCCCTTTAATCCTGCCCCTTCAGCCACCTGGCTTCTCTTCACTGTGCCCTGACATCTGCTCCCACATTGCAGTTCAGGAGCAGGATCTGTCTGTGGCAGGATCCCAAACAGAGCTGGCCCAGAGCTTGCTCCTGCAGGCCAGTATTACCTGGCCATTACAAGACCATTTTATAATCTCACTCTTGAGGGTTTTTTTCACTGATTAACTTATTTTACTGCTTGCTCTGCCACACTCATATGGTAGGAGGGGAAGATGCCCTGTGCTAATGACTCCACTGGAGTGAAGCTGAAGCATGAGGGAGCAATCTGATGTGTTCCCACAGAACTTTGCATCTTGCACTGAGTTTGATCCTGCACTTGTGAAATGCTTCCTATGGGACAGGGCTCATCTGGTTGAATGGCCTGCAACTGGATTGCTGACAGCAAGGGGCTCATGTTGCTGCTGCTTCCTGGCAGTGTGGCAGAGTGACTTCTGACTTCAGTGTTAGTTCCCCCTCCATGTCGGAAGGCATTAACAGGAGCTTGCTGCCTGTGGTATCCCAGGGTGAATGTTGCTCAGAATACAGCTTCTTATTTGACTCTCCACTTAAATACCATTGCTAGATCATATGAAAGGCTAAAAAATAACTTTTCTGGCCCCCAAATCTGTTTCTGATATCCATATATATTATATTTTTGACCATCTAAAAAGACTCTAAATGCAAAACAAAACCCGCTGCCTTTAATCTTCACATTCTTCCTCTCTGCATTCCTTGAAACCATGGCAACGGATGGGATAACCTATCTGCATTGGAGTGGCTGCAGAGGGAAAGATGGGGCTTGTTGCAGAGCCTGATGCTAATATGTCACCGTCAGTAAAGCACAGCAGTCAGGGACAAGGAAAATTCATGGTTTTAAAAGAGGAGTTTGCTCTTAGTTGTTAGGTACAACAGATCAAACTTTGACTTCAAATTCATATGTTTCTATGTATTTTTTTTATCTGTAATGCCAGCACCCCTCTTACCTGTAACTCTTGGTCTCTCAACATGTTACACTTGCAGACTCTCACAGCCTCGACTCCAGTCGATATTCCATAGTAGGAGCAGATCTCCGCTTCTCAGCAGATCTGGAAGACAAGCTAAAGAAACATAACCTGGATATACAGTAAGATTTATTTATTTTTTTAATGGTGAGGGCTTGTTGAAGCACACTGGTGAGGGTGAAGGCAGGCTTGGGCATACAGCATCTGCATCCAGTGCTCATTATGCTATTTCCATGGTTACCTTTCCTGAGACCTCGAGCAGAAGGAATTGTTCAGACACCTCCTGCAGCCTGGCTGAGCCGAGCAGCTGGCAGTGCCCTGGCTGCTCCTGGCTTCCAGCTCTGAAGCAAGGCTGTTCCTCCCATAGTCTGTTCTGCAAACTGCATTTCATCCTTCTGGGAAGATCAAACATTACAGAACTACTTGCTTCGTGTTCTTAAAACCCTGCAGGGAATGAAGCCTGGCTCTCTGTGACTGTGTTGCTGGTGCTGGTTCTCTTTGGGGCATATGATCCTTTTGCACAATTAAAGCTCCTGTGGTCAGGTGGGCAACTGAAATTCCTTTTGGCTTCCCCCTGTCCCTTGCCCTGGGGGGGTTTAGTTCCCACTGCAGCCATTTTTTGCCTCAGAGCTCATTCCAGTTTTCTGTCTCTCCTTCATAACTGAACTCCTTTAGAGAGTTCTAAGAGTTACCCCTTGCTTGAATTTGGCTTAAATTTAGTTAATAGAATCGTTAGTTATTCAAGTGAAATATCTAAACTAGTAATGTACCAAAATGTCATAAATTGCTCTTTTCAAGAGGTGGTTCATTTGCTTTTGGTTTCACTGGTGGCTGATGAGCAGTACCCAGAGGAGTGAATATCTTCTACCCCTATTGTCATGGCTGTATGAACAAGATCTCTTGTTCATAGATAGTCAAATTAAGAATAATTCTGTCAATGTTAAATTATTTCAGAGTTTTATCTTTGCAATAATTTTCTTTTGCCTCCTCTTAAACCCCATGTTGTTTCCCAGACCTTTTGGTGAAGTGATTGCCATGGAGTCCTTTGAGAACTTACCTCTGGAAGCTAATATCTGGGATTTTATTGTTCTGAAGGGGGCAGGATTTAGGTTTTTAGAGTGGATGATGGACATACCTTTCAAATATAAGATATATAAATAGTGGCTCTCTGGCTGGGTGGGAAGAGAGCATATGGGTAAGCAGAATGCATCAAATTGCCATTTAAATCTTTACACTTCCATCTTCTGACATCTTGCCTTGCTTGCCTACAATGCTGCTCCTGGTGGAGTTTCTTCTGCTTCTAGTGACTTCCTTTTCCTGTTCATTCTAGCAATTAAAAGCAAGCTCCATCATTCTAAGGAAGATCACTTCTGAAGATGTCTATTTTGGGGTTTTTGTGGATGGAGGGGGAAAAGGCAACATGCAAACTAGAGATTGCATTTGTTAGGTAATAATGTGTGAAGCTTGTTTTACAGAAACTGAACACATTTGCCTAATTGGAATTCTTCTTAAAACTTTTTTTAAAAGAGGAAACTTTTTTTTTTCAACTGGTATTTTATTCCTCATTTTGCTGATCTCTGACAGTGTGGATTGTGCATACGGGGTACAATTACTCTGCAAAGGGAACATCACTGTGCACTTGGGTTCATGCTGAGGGTTCAGAGACTCGCAGAACACACGTTTTTCTCTGTCCAGTGCATGGCTGATCTGGGGAGATGTTTCCCAATATCTCTGTGTTGTAACCATGGGAGTCCCCTGTTGACTGCCAGAAAACCCAGTTCTAGCCAACTTGATGAAGTGATTTCATTAAGTCTTAAATGTCTAGTTCACAAAAAGGGTGGCTCTTTAAGAATGCTGGGGGCAAGAATTACTTGCTTGCTAATAACTCATTATCGATCTTGTTTTTTTCTTGTTCTTTTATTAGAAACAATTCTCTTGTGTTTTTTGTTTTGTTTTGTTTTAAAGTTTGCCAACACTTCTGGTAGCAGAGTGTGTGCTGGTTTACATGACACCTCAGCAATCTGCAGCTCTCCTGAAGTGGGCGGCGAGCACCTTCCCGGTGGCGATGGTTATAAATTATGAGCAGGTAAAAAAAAAATGTGGCATTTTTAGACCTGCATTGTTGTCATAAAAATTGCTCTCGAAAGTGGGAGTTCTGCCCATAAAGCAAGAGCGGGCCATATCCTTTTATGTAGACAGCAATTTCTGCTGAATTTCTTTAGTCATGTGTTTTATTTTGCCGAGCTGTTAGCTCGTTGTGGAGAATATATGGCTGTTCTGAAAGACAATTGCTGGGCTATATTGAACCAAAAGAACTGAGGCTTAATCCATGTGTGGAGAAAACCATAGAATATTGGTTTAGATAAAGACAGAGGGAAAAAGAAATGATGCTGCCTGCTGGATATGAGTGTATAGCATTACATAATTGCCTCTCTGTGTTCTTTGACAAAGTGGAGCAAAAATCACATCAGCACAAACTCAGCTCCTCTGTATGGAAGTGAAGCGCTGCCTCGGGGGAGCTGGGTGGCTCCAGGAATTAGTAACAGGATCTTCCAAGCTGTAAATCACTGCTAGAGCTGAACCAAATTGCTGACAGTTTAGATCAGAGTCAGTTTTCAGTGCCCAGTGCAGGGTCCCTGCAAAGGCAGGAACATTGTCACCGTCAGACAGGCACTCAGCTTGTCAGCGTGAGGTAGCTGAGGAGTTTGTGGCAGTGAGAGATGAGGCCTGGTGTAGATGTGAAACTTTCTTCAGTGTTCTGTACATTTTATGACAGACAATTCAAGAGTTTAACCAAGTTACTGCTTTTCACTGCGGTTACATTCTTTTCGGAAGGGGGAACACTTTTGTCTCATTCTCTACCTGAGGTGAATATGATGGACCGGTTTGGACAGATCATGATTGAGAACTTGCAGAGACGACAGTGTAACCTGGCTGGGGTGGAGGTCTGCAGGTCCTTAGACTCTCAGGTAAAAGGGGCACAGAGCGATGGCTGTGTTTGATATTCAACTTAATTAATCCGTGTTCTGCCTCTGTGCACTGCACAGCTCAGCAGTGACCAAAGCAGGCTGGGGAGGGCAGCTGCTACCTACTGAAACCCTTTCCTGTCCATGTTTCCCTGCTTCCCAGTTATCACTGCCACGGTTACTTGATATCACTTAGTTTCAGTAGTTGTAGAAAAACCACAGGAGATCAGAGCACAGCTCCATCTACCACCCCACCGTGCTCACTGTGCAGGGGTTGGCAGCAGATGCTTAGAAGGAGTATAAGAACTCTGCAAAGAATAGGTCAAGTGGACGGCCTGCAAAATTCCTTGGGGGAAGAGCTGTTCTCTGGTGTTTTCCCTCGAGTCTCTGAAAACTGTGCTGCTGCTTTATTTTACAGAGGGAGCGACTGCTGTTAAATGGCTGGGAAACTGCAAGTGCCATTGACATGATGAAAGTGTACAGCTCTTTGCCACAGGATGATGTCAAAAGGTATTACTGCTAGCTTGCTTGAGGCCAAAAGTCCTGTTCAGCTGCCATTGCCAAGGTAGTTCCTGTAATTACGTAGTGTGGGATCCCCCAGTATAACAGAGCAGGCTGATGCTGGCAGGGCAGATGGGATCAGTCTGAGTCTGAAGCTCTGCAGAGCCCTATGGATAATGCCTGGAGCAACATTAATGATCCAGAGGGTTATTGCTGCCAGAAATAGTCTGGCAGTGGTGGTCATTTATTTGGGAGCATTGTAAAACATCTCATGACAGAAACAGATAAAAGATGGCACAGAAATGCTGTGCTGAGTTCTTACAGCACCTGAGAGGTTTCTTGTGACCATCCAGCCTCCACAGCACTGGAAGGGGTGGGGCAGAGTCCTATAATACACTCGGAACAAACAGACACTTTTCATGTCCCCAAGGGAGATGACATCCCAGTGTTTGCTCCACTCCTATGGACTTCAGTAAGGTTACTTATCCATTTGCTGCTTTACTACAAGTAGGTGGAAAGTGGCCAATCCTGTTCTTGCCTCCCTTCTTCCTGGGCAGCATATTTAGGTAATGAGCCAAGGCAGGGCAGTAATTTAGTGCTGTGACCTAAGGTACTGTGTAAGCAAAGAGGGTGAGAGAGGAGAGGTGAGCCCAGCAGTGTGCTGGGACTGTCTCTCAGCAGATGGATTCATCTTCCATTCCTGTCATGTTGATGGGCTAGACTGCTGGGTCTGCAGACACAGCTTAGTACTTTGGGGTCTAACAAAAGGCTGCTACAACAGTCAGTAATCTGCATGGATTTGATTAAAACTTTTTTATTAAAGAAAAGCTGAGATGGGAGAAACTGTTTCTAATGAGCAACTTCTTCGGTCTATAATATGAAGTGTGAGTTGCTATGAGTCATTCTTTAGCTATAGTTTGAATTAGCCCAACAAGTTACCATGGTCAAAATAAGTATTCACATATGGGGATTTCTCAAGCCATGGAACTGAACAGGTGAGACTGAAAATCATAGGTTGTTTAAATAGAAATGATGACTGTGTGTGTGATGGTACCATATGGCACTTGCAGAGACACATAGCTTTTACTCTTTTTGCAGCATTTTTTACTACCTTAGATCTGTTCAGCTCCTTCCATTTGTTCCAAATGTCAAGAAATAGGTTTTACAAACTCTGTTCATCATTATTAATGAGGTAAATTATGCTTTTTATTTATAAAAATCTTTACAAAAGTGTTCCTGTGCAGCACTTGCACATCTGTAAGTGTATTTAGGAACTTTTGCCCCTCAGCCTCTGCTGATCCTCAGAAACAGCCCTTCCAAATGATTAGTGGGGAAAATAAACACTCTGCTGTTCAAGTAATTTAGAGTGAGAGAGCAGAATGTGCCAGGTTAAACATTTTTAGGCAAGCACAGCATGGGAGTTTGGTGGAAGACATTCAAAGATCTCACATAAAGAGTCCTAGGTAGGAACCATTTTAGGAAAAAAATCCTCAGACCTTCTATGTACCATTTGGTTTGTGCTTCATCATGAGCTCATGTGGGAGAGCTGTTAGAAGCTGCACTGGTGTACCCATCACTCCTCCAAGACATAATAGGGACTTGTGATTGTCTGGAGTCAATCTGGATTGACTTGTGATTGTCTGGAGACAGTCTGCTGTCTTCAACTGTTTGCTGTAATCCTTTGATAAAGAAGATCTCCTTCCATTAGGCTGTACTGTTGTGCCTACTTAAATCCAGCAAGTCCAGATCTGTGCAGTAATAGTGGTGAGAAGATAAATATTCGTGAGAAGTTATACAGATTAGTGCTGGAATGTGAAAGTCTGGGGATGAGAAGTTGAAAACATCTTGTGTGTCACTTATTTCACATATTGACAACAAGGGCAAGGAGTAGTGGTGGTGTATTCATTATGGACAAATACCTGTATTAGTTTACTGGAAAAGTAACTGCCCTATTGGCCATGGTTATCCCTCCCAGGGAGTGAAGAAGAGTACCTCAAAACCAGTACTGAGACTTCAGCTTGAATCACCATTTTTCTTTTATCCCTACAGAATAGAAGGACTTGAATTCCTAGATGAAAAGGAACTGTTTGAACAACTAATGCAGCACTACTGCATCTGCTGGGCTTCAAAGGACAGCAGTCATCTGGGTAATGTTCTCCAGCATTTAGGAGGTGACCCTCCATGTGGAAATCCTATATGGAAAGACTGGGACTGCATACAGCAGATACAGTAGAGGAGTGGGGTCTGTTTCTCTGTTGTCCTTGGGGCTGTGAACACCTCCAGGTGGTGTCTCATGACTCTATCTCCACAGCCTTTGGAGGGTTTCTTTAGGCTTCTGAATTGCTCATCAAGAACCTGTCCAGTACAGAGGAGCTGGAATTTTTACACTGAAGGATAACTGTCTGGGTTACTTTAAATAACTGCCTGCTTTATCCTTTCTGTGCTAATTGAAAGGTTTACAAATCCTATGCATGTAAAATGCCATATGGGCACATGGTGTATGAAATCACAGTGTCCTGCCAACATAAAAATAAACTTGTATTACTTAGCCCAGCCTTCTAGTGCACTGTCCCAATTTACATCCATTTCAGACTTAAGTTTTCCACCCTGCTTTCTCCTGGGGGAAAAATTCCCTCTGAAGTTAACTCTTTTAAATGTTCCTTTTGTTCTTAAAATTGTGTCTCTCCTAGACTGGAATTTATTAGGAACAGAGAGACTTGCTTTATGCTTTATGTAGCTTTATGTTGCTGCCTAAGAATTAATGAAATCAAAAGAATTGTGGGTTGGGTGAAGGGTGGATGTCTATAGCCATTATTTGTCCAAATTAGAAAGACAACTCTGTTGCAGACACAGTTGATATCTACTTTTGTCTGCAATTTCAGGCACTTTAGTCTTTCTAGAAAACTTTCTGTGTTTTTCCTCCCTTTCCCCTTCCCTTGCTCCTGGTAAAGCAGGATTCAAGAGCAAGTTGTATTTGCTCTTTTAGCCATTTCTTACAGCTAAGATGTGGTGACTGTTAAGGCAGAACTTATTTCTAGAGGAGCTAAAGCCAAAAAGTTCACCTGTTGATAGTAGCCAGAATTCCTGGGGTCTCCAGCATTATTCTTTGCTGTGATTAGAGAAGTTACTTACCCGGAACAGTTCTGGGTACTGAGGTGAAGTGCTGCGGATACTGTAGAGGTCAGAGAAGACAAATCTCAAAGGAGGTAACAAAATGTCTAATGCATGGATATGCCTTAATCTAAAGCATCCATTCTTGATCCAGATTGAATTTACTGCCCTCATTAATGGCACTCTCCTCAGCTTTCTCTTTTTAATTTCATGGGCAGACCCCTTGGTCCATCAGCAGCCTCCCTGTTCCTTCTGCTATGAATAACTGCAGTACTCCTTCCGATTGGCTTATTCAAATTAGCTGCTGCATCACCATCAAAAAAAAGGTCATAAAAGAACTGAACACCCTCTTTCCTTATTTCCTTTCCTCCCACCAAATCTTTTACATTTAAGTTTTAAAATATAATAATAAAAAACACTCAAAGCATCTTTCTTCCGGTGCCTAACGGCCCCAATAGCAGCGAAGTGCCGGTGCCGTGGGAATCAACACTTGTTTCTCCCCCCCTCCCCTTTCTTTTCCAACAGGTCTTGCGAACATCACGTTCTAATGTGCTGGCTGGAGGGAGGCCCTGGGCCCCGAAGCTGCAGTGGCTGCCTGGTGAGACAGGGTGACAGGCAGGAGGGACTCAGCCTGTGCCAGCCCCAGGCGCAGCTCTGCCCAGGCGGCGCGGCGGGGGGGTGGCAGGGCTGCTGGGGTCCCTGCCTTTTGGTTGTGTCAGCTCATCTTTGCACCTTGTGAGCAGCTGTTGTCAGGCAAGATTCACCTCCCGTTCCCGGATACGTAACGATGGACTTCAATCAGATGTCAGCAATTCCTGTTCCAAAGCTCCCTTCCTTGGTTTACAACTAAAAGTGAAGTGTTGTTGGGTTGTACAATTTTCCTCTTTTGTCTTTTTGTGGATGTGTAAAATGTCCTGGTGACAGGAAGCTGGCAGAACAGTGCTGGTGTGCTGCATGGTTGGGGATCTCAGCACTGCACGCTGATCATGAAGGTTAACCCCTGTTAATATTCATTCTGTTCAGGTTTAATTTTCATGACGTGTCACCCTGTTAGCTTTCTCCAGGCTTTGCTGTTGCTCCAAGGCTGTCACTGTGCTAGGTATGTTCTTGTAGGGGGAGGGTGAAAGAAGGAGGGCCATGATTTCTGTTCAGTGATGTACAAGAAACTGGATGATGTTAAAATAGACTTTATTTAACTGGGAAGGGCTTATCTTGGCAGTTCAGCACTGGAATGATGCGAGTAAGAGAGAAATTAATCTAAATTTGCACTGCTGCTGGTAGTATCTTTACACCAGTTCCTCATTTTTCTTTCTTTCCCCTTAAATGAAAACAGTCTCAACAGCAACGAAAGACCTTACCCTGTTGTTTGAAATTGAATCTTGTGACCTTCCTATGAGAAAAGTAATAAATGTTTAGTATTTATAATTTGCCTGGTGTCTTACTCATTAGAAATTACCCATCTGGTTCTAGTGACTACATTTTTCATTTCTCACCAGAAATACCTCACCAGGAGTATTTTTATGAAGCAGTTACAGGCATAAGCAACTATTTTCATACTGTAGGTGGCTTCTGTAGTGTAAGAATTCCTGGCTTTGGAAATAGTTGACATGGGTGTGGACTGGAGGTGCAGGGAAAGGAGATTATTGAGATACCAAGAAAAGTAAACAGTTCTTAGAAGTAACAGTCATCATTTCAGAGGAGCAGAAGTAGTAAAAAGAAATGGCCTTCCCTTCCTGCCCTCCTCTCTCCCTCAGGGATTTGAGTCGCTGGTACCTCCAGGCCACCTGCTGTTAAGTTTGTGTCAGACTGATTTGTTAAACGCCAAGGCACAGAAATACAATATTTGGTTAATGCTTTCCTGGGTGCCTGTGAGGTGTGCACAGAGGTCTCTGCCCCCAGGGGAAGGGATGATCTCTGTGCAATTATGAAGGGAGCTTATAACCTTTGCTTCCTAGATAACAATATCAATGGTATGCTTATGTCTGCACGTTTTAGATGTTTGGGCTTATCTGCACCCCTTTCTATTAAGAGGCATGTGCAACCCGGGTCTGCATCAGCATTGACCCTTTCTCTCTGCAAATGCAGGAGACCAGAAGCATGAGTCTTGTTGTTTCACCATCCCACCCAACTTCCTTCTTCAGCACAGCAGCTGCAACCAGAGGATGGGGTTTGCCATGGAGGGGTTTCCCCGGGCAGCTGCCTGGATTGGGAAGCAGACTTGCTGATGAGCCTTTCTTGGGAAGCCTTGTTGGTTTTGCCTTCTGGTTTCACATTGTTGTTTCTGAAAGAGTTTTTTTGTATTTTTCATTCCCATTGTACAATTGCTCTGTCTTACCCTCGCATGAACCCGTGGAGCTAAATTCAATAAGGAATTAAATCTGTGAATCTGTCTTAATTTGACTTCTGAGTCCTCCAGACTCTGCCTAGCTAAAAACAGCACTGTTGCCAGAGACCTGGAAGAAGATAAAGCATCATGCAGCTCCTCCAGAGTCAACCTCTGGCTGTGTAAGGAGTAGATACTCAGCTGGCATAAAGTCTAGTAAAAGTTCACTTCTCAGTTCTGCTCACGTTTCATGCTGCCCAGAAGGTTGGTTATTGATATCTAAAGCATGGCCACTCTGCAAATATACTTAGCTCTGATCTTTTTAACTTCTTTGATAGTCCACATCCTGAGCTGTCTGAAATTGTAATGGCTTTATAGCAAGTGAGCTCTTCACTGATAGTTGTTTTTGACTGTGTTGTTGGGGCTTGTTACATTCGGTTTGTTTGTGGTTTTGATTGGTTGGTTGTTTTTCTTTCTTGATGTTTTACATTTGAGGAGAAATGGAACAACTTTCTAAAAGAACTGCTGCCTTGCAGCTGGGTGTTTATGCTGGGATTCCAAGGTGCTTGGCTTGCCCTCCAGCCCCACCCAGCCCAGGTAGGTCTTTTATTCGGATGCTGCCATCTTCAAACGTTTTTGGACTTCATCAGCACTGCCTCTTGGATCGTGCTGTGGGCCATTAAGATGCTTGTCTTGCTTTTCATGAGTGTATTGCACACAAGGGCCTCCCACCTGCAGGTGCTGTGACTCACAGGAGAGCTCTGCTTCCCTGGGCTGTGTGCTGTCCTGCAGGCTCCTTTGCCAGATCAAAGCTGGGATGTTAGGAAAGCAGGAGTAAAGGTTGGTGACTTTACTGGTTTGTTTCCATTTTGAAGAAACAGTTCCTGCTCCTGAGATGGACAACAGTAGATGTTTTACTTCTTCCACCTTCAGAGTGGGCTTGTAAGGCTTGGGGATCGTGGCTGAGCTGGTGCTGGACTTGAGGTTCCATTTGCTTCAGGTGAACTGAGATCACGGAGTTTGGTGCTTTTATTTAATCAGCTGCATCAGTGTTGTCTGGGAGCACCTTATACCTGCCCTGCCCTCACAGTGCATTAACATCATCTGGAACTGAACCACATTGAATCTGTATCCCTGTGGGTGGCTGGCAGGGGACCTGTGGTGGGGACCCCTATGCCATTGCTCTCCAGCCCCTGGAAATCAGATCTTGCCTCCTCAGCCCTGTCACATACCAAACTGTCCCTTCATCTGTCTGATGAGCTCAGCATTCTCAGTTTAGTGCATATAGAAGCTACTTCCAACTTTCTTGTATATTCATATGGGTACAATTTTCCTCCTTGTGGTTTATGGAGTAAGAACTTATTAATGGATAACTAACCTCTTGGTATTGCAGACTCCTTGGTAGGGCTTTGACAAGGTATCTGATTCTGCCTGCAGCTCTTTGATGTTCTGCTCCTTGATCTCCCTCCACAAATGGCTCTGATCTGACTTGCTGGCATTAGCATTACCCGTGTTGGGTGCTGCACAAGCACCCAGGGAGAGATGATGTCTGTCCTGAAAAACCTCTTGATCTGAATTAACATGCAAAAAGTATCTGAAACAGCTGAGTCAAAAGTGCTTAAACATGAAGATGGGAGGAATGCAACAAGGTGTGGTGTCACAGATCTGCTCATAGCTAAGTCTGACAGGTTACCTGACAGTTACTATCTGTTAGTAAGAATCAGTGATTAATAAAAACCCAACAAATTACAAAAAGGCACCAACAAACTGGAAGTCCTGTGACACCCTCTGCTCTGCAGGAGTCTTCCTGTGCAGTGACTAATGCTGCTCTCTGCCAACAAGACTTCCTTGCTGATTTCTTTTGAATAAAATTGATGAATCCATAGTAGCATAAAAGCCACATCTCTACTATCAGTTTAATTTTGGCAAGACTCCTTTTGAGCATATTCCTTGAGCATCTTGTATCTTTATGAGTGGGAGCCAAGCTGAGGTCTTACCTGCTCTGGAACAAAAAAATCTGTTCCCTTTGAACTGGTCAACATCTAAGATGGAACCATTGAGTTGCTGATTTTTTCATATAAACAGGCTTTGAATGCAGCTCCCTACAGGAGATGGTCCAGTTGGTCTCCTTTGTCTTCTTCTTTGTCATAGTTTAATCCTCTCTGCTTGGAAATTATGTCTCTGTAAGCATGAGGCAGATATTGGTGGGACTTCTGCTCATCAGTTTCTATTTTGGGCCTCTTGCATAAATTGTTGATCTGAGGGAAGCACTGAAGGAAGCAGGATGGGAGCAGAGCTGGTGCTGTGGGATGAAGGGCACGATGGTGCCCTGCTCATCGAGATGAGTCTTATTTTCCATCTTGCAGCTGTTCAGCTAAACAGTTCAGCAGCCAGCTAGGAGAAGGGAAACTATTCCTGCAAGAACTCTTGAAGAGCCTCTTCTAGCTTGGTTGCCAACAGTGGTGAAGAAGTAGGTCACCTTGTGCTTCAGGGTTACAAGAGGATCAAAGGAATGTGTGATACCTCGGGAGCTGAGGGGGCAGGATGGGTGTGGGCAGTCTAGCTCTCATGATAACTCCAACGAAAATAAATACATCTTTCATAGAATCACCTCATAGAATTCACCTCTCTTCAGGGAATATTTGGGTTTGGAGAGTACCTGGTGCTGCTGAAACAATGCTACTTTGCAGGAAAGCCACTAGCTGAAAAGGACTGAGAAATGTTTCCAGCCAGGGAAGATGGCCTTTGCCTTCTGCTGCTGTTTGGTGCTGCAGAGTGAATCTCTGCCTTTCTTTTCTGCTGCCAGCCCAGCCTTTTCCCTGGGGTGCTGGTACTGACAGTAGAACAAAAATTCATCTCTGCAAATGGTTAGTATAAAGGGGAAAAAATAACCATTTCAGCTTGAGTGAGCTGCAAGTGGAGCATCAGCTGCAGCCCCAGCTAGGAGCTCCAGCCCTCTCTTGGCAGCCTCCTGCCCGGGCAGCTCCCCTGCTGCCTGCTGGGCTCTGCCTGGCCCTGCCTGCAGGAGCTCACCAGACCTGCCTGGAACCCACCTCTAGACAAGGACACTTCACTGTCATCTTTGCCACTGGGATATCTCACATCAGCTCTGGTCTCACTGTCATAATCACACCTGGGTCATTTCATTGAAGATCACTTAAAAGTACTTGAACTGTTTTCCTCTTTCCTACTGAATTTAGTTTCTATGTCTGTAAATGTAATGGC